TGTCCACAAACAATAATACTTAATGTTTTAAGAGGAGGAAGCCCTCTTGTCTTAAGCCCTGTTACTACTATAGGCTATAAAAAGAAAGAAAGTTTGACTTTTGTGGCTCTTGGTTACTAAAGGGCATGATTGAAAATAGGAAGGGGAAGCTTATTATGAGAACGAATGGTCAAATTAAAACCTAATTTAAACTAGTTATAGAAGTTGTATAATCTTTATTATGATTTTTTAAAATAAAAACAGTAAAATAAAATTAAAACATATTTAACGAGACAGAAATATAATCAGGATCATACGAGATAAATGATCATCTGCACCAGAATGAATTATTTCCCATTCATTTGATTATTTATTCATCCTACAGAACATGTAGAGGAAGGAGAGCAAACAGAGGAAATTATGTGATCTCTACTAAGATATGTGATAATGAACTGCCCTTTCTATCTCTGTTCAATGACATTTTCTCTCATAATCTTGGAGCTATTTTTGTTTATTAGAACAGCGAAAGTAGGCTTCCGTGTTTTGGGAATTAAAAAAGAAAACACAACTCTCCCGAGAAAAATCAATCCATTGGTTTTAGAGCTTCTCCTCTGCCGGTGTCTCATTGATTTTCAACTTTGCTGCTATTCAGGGGAAAAGGAAAAAGATGTCTCCCGCAGCTTTGCTCTGTGTTGCTGTAACCCTCTTTAAAAGGACAAACTCCAGCACACACATACACACACACACACACACAAACACACACTCACAGAAGCAGCCCGCCCTGCTTTGGCCATTATTGCCGGGTAGTGATTAACACAGAGGTGAACCCATCAACACAAGAGGTTACCTTGGCAACCAGGTCTGTGGCATACTGGAGTCTGGGAGAAGAGCGGCGGTGGAGAGGAGGGGCATGGGGCAGCTCTGTGGAGACACACACACACACACACACACACACACACACACATTCGCCCTGTTGCTCATGCTCATTTGCTGGGCAGAGGAGTCGTGACTAACCAGAGCCTCCCCTCGCCCCCACCAACCCCCACTCTCCTCACTCCCCTCACTCCCCTCACTCCCCTCATCCATCTGTGTACGTGCTTTTTTTTTCTTCCCCTCACCGACTCACTATCGTGGAATTGTGGAGCAAGTAAATGCCATTCAGCACTCAATAAGACACAATATCGGAAATGGAAGTGATAACCTCCACTGTATTTTTTTCTCTCTCTGTGGATAGATGGTAACAGTGTATCTGTGTGTGTGTGTGTGAGAGAGAGAGAGAGAGAGAGAGAGAGAGAGAGAGAGAGAGAGGGCAGCAAATGTGTTTGTTTGATGTCAGAGCGGCACGGAGGCTCCATGCTGCGCTCAGCCACCTCGCTGCTCTCACATGTTGCCACAGCAAACACTTAGATCCCATGTCTATTTACCGCCGTCACAGCTGGCCCGATGGGGGCACCTGTGGGATCAGCAGCAACTTTATTTAGACCCCCCCTCCCTCCTTCCAACACCCTGCACGCCAGGTCTAGCATCTCCACCACTGCTGACCACAAAGCACTTTCCATTCTCCTCATCTTACCACCCCTCGAGCCATCGGTCACACACACCAGCACAGACCGAAATAAACTTCTCTGACGTTACAAGGTAGCTGGGATCATCCTGGAGATTTACAGTCTGTCTTTACACACTTTGGTTTACTTTGTCAGGGATATTCATTCATCAACGTATTAGCAGACGACACAGATACTCTGATAATCTGCTGAAGCTTTGATCGCACACACTCCTCAGGCTGCACTGCATACCACTTCCTCTGCTTCAGCTCTCTCTGAATGATTTTTTTAGCAGCCTGAATTGGATCACTGTGTTCATAATCTACTATTTGGATTAACAGATGCCTGCTGGCTCTCAGAAAGTGTAAATAAGTAGCCGTAGCTGAACGGCACAGGTCATTGAGTGTCCATACGTTTGAGAGATGTGCAAAGGATTTTACGGTTAAATCACTGTGGCACCCTCTGCACTGTCAAGCCCATCAGTTATCTTGTGTTACAGGCGGTCAGGGTTAATCAATGTCACTACCCGCTCATTCAGAGCAGACAGCTCCTTCAGAACGTGGCTGCAGGTGCTTGTTATTACGGTGATGGTGTCATTGTAAATTTTCAGCCTCCGTGGCAGACTGTGGAGCCATATTAAACAGGAGCGTCTTCCCAGAATGCCTCTGACTCATCTGACATTTCAGTCTGAACCCCAGTCACTGTCTCTCCAGCCTGCAGCTCTATCTTTCTCCCTCTATCTCTCTATCCATCTTTCTCCGGCTTTTCACTGTTCCAAATCAAGGTTACCACTTTTTAAAGTCTATCTATCACTCCCTCCGCCCACTTATTGCTCTTTCCGTGCACAGACATTTTATGTCACCATTTCTGTTTAAACATTCATCAGGTGAGTTTCAATCAACGTGAGCTTCTATTCCTCCTCCGTGCTGTAAAAGGAGGCGTAGCAGTTAAAGCACAGGGTCAAAAATCAGTGAAAACAGTCACCTTTGCACCAGTTTTAGTGGTTGCACCGCCTGGTACTGCTGCTGTTTGTTTCCAGTTGATTGAATTTGGAATGTAATTAGGAATGACTCTGAGGCAAGGGCCATGGGTTTATGGATAGCGTAATATCTCCCCCAGGAGCCCTTTGAAATGGGATTGACTTTGGAAGGCATGTCTAATTATGGTTTTGTACACGGATATATTCACTAAGGGCGGCAGATGCAGCTGCAATCTCGAAGGTCTCAGAGTTGCAGCCATATAGATGGTCAGAACGTCTGCCGAGCTCTACGTGGATATCAAGCTGTTTGCTCCAAGGCAGGGCATAATGAGATTTGAAATAACAGACCTAAAGTACAGACAGTATATTTGTTTTCTATATACGCCTGTAGCCCACCATGACAGGGCAGCATTTAAATTGGTAATGTGTGCATTTGTGTGTATGCGCTAAACAAGTGCGTATTATTAGATTTCAAGTCAGGAGCAAATGGAAACATATTCCCTGAGCCACTGTGGAGTGTGATCCTACATTGTTTATTGCTTATGTGCAACTCTAAGTTTGCTCTCTCTCTTTTTATAAGTTCAAGACCTGCAACATGATCGCACAGGTCTCAGCAGGCATTCAAATAAACAGTTGACATTGTATGTTGAAGCTACTGTATCAGGTGTTCCTCTCCCTGGATGACACAGCTCCCTGTGTGCTAGTTTCAACAAGTATAACACATCAGTGCCAGTTAGAGCTGGGCAATGAATAAATTAAATTGAATTTACTTTTTAAAACAATGCAAAAATTTGAGGTTTAAACTATGAATGTTATGTTTTGATATACAGCCGCCAAGGACTATGTAAAATGACCCCAATCCACTCATACCGCTCATCTACACAGAACGTATCCCAAATGAGAAGAAGGGCCCCCAGTGATAAGACATTACAAGTGACAAACATATGGTGTCCTTTTAAGAAAATAAATCAATTAAAATCGTAAATTGGTTGTGGTGTCATGTTGCCCACTGCTATAGCGTCAGCGAGGTTTAGTGTCAGGATGTTGTTTTATCAACTGGCAGAGGTGGGGACCAAGTCATTGTTGTGCAAGTCTCAAGTAAGTCTCAAGTATTTACACTCAAGTCAAGATAGGCAAGTCCAAAAATTTAGGTTTATGGTCCTAAACAGGTTACAGTGCACCAAATGTAATGGCATTTAAGAACAGAGCAAAAGAAAACAAAATTATGTTTGGTATCAATTCTTCCTGTAACGTTACTTTTTTATGGTTTACTCCTGCAACCTGATTGGATCTCGAAGATCTGGGGAATTAAGTGTTTAATTGCTGGGAACAAACAGCTATAACATTAGTTGATTCAGGAAATAAAAGGAACTTGGACTCATGACCTTTGTATTCCTAAAATACAGACGTCTACAGCCCTGCTGATGTGTTCAGTTTTAGAGTTGATGCTCCACAAACCTCTGAAAACAAACCACCAGAATTATTTTAAGGGAAAACAAATAGTCTCTTGTTTAAAAAAAAAAGAGTCTGAATTGTGAGAGCCATCCAAATTGCATTTCAGTCAGGCTTTGATGATTCTACTAGTAGACAAGAGGTTTGTTTGTTCTCTGGATGAATCTCACCAATAGTTTTCAGCATTGTGCTTTGGGGTGGTGCTTGATCCTCCCATCGCTTTTTGTATGAGGAGAAACTGATGCCAGGGAGAGAGAGAGAGAGAGAGGAGAGGAGAGGAAGAACAGTCTGTAGATTTTATATGAGAGGTGACTGTCGGCTCAAACATTCACTCACCACGACTCCAGTAATTTCATCAAGAAAATAAAATCTGCTTTTTCAATCAGCTTTCAGCAGTAAATTTAAAACTGCCCACAGTTCTGAATGTGTTTTTCTTACAATGATAATCTGATGATAATTACAATAATAAAAGTATTTTTCTTACTCCAGGTTTCAATCTAACAAGAAAGAATTCTTACACATACATATATTTAAATTTATATAATTTACTACACGCACATTGTCAGTATTAGACCTGCACTGTATATTCAAAGCCCTGAAGACTAATCTATGCTGTATGATTTTTGTCCTGTGCAATTATTTATTTTTATACCAAAAATAAAGCCACTACCTCCTGCTGTAACAATATTCCATCATAATGAATATTCATATCAATCACATCTAAAGCTGCAGTGTTTAATACAACTCTTATTCTATTTTCATTACATCTTGTATTTTTCTATTCTATTTATACTTAAAGTGTATTTTCTCATCTGTTGTGTTGTATCTAGAGCAAATTTCCCCACTGTGGGATCAATAAAGTCTGAAAGGATGAGGACTAATTGGAATAAAAAGTGCACAGACACTTCATCTTTTCTATGGGAACAACCAATCCAGGACTGTCTTAATAGGATTAGACTGGTTAGTGTGTGTGTGTGTGTGTGTGTGTGTGTGTGTGTGTGTGTGTGTGGCCGTGCTCCTCCTGCCTCCGCCTCTGTGCGGCACTCATCGCTCCTCATACAGAGGCAGCGCTACCCTGTACATGCCGCTCCTGACAGCGGAGAACCAGGCGGATGAACTGATGGCTCGTATTTCTGTTGACTTTCACATTATGTTGTTGTGTGTCGCGGTTTGTCTCCCACCACCTGGCCTCTCGCCATCCCCCCTTTGTCCGTCTGTATGATCGGACCGACTGAAGGTTAATGTCCGGAGTGTGAAAAAGGCAGCCTGCCGGATTGGTGCAGGCGGTGAAGGCGCTTTAAAAACCCTCCATCTCTGCCCGACTGAGAGTCGACTGGTAAGTTGAGTTTTACATCTGATGGCGTCAGTCTGACCCAACACAACATGGTTTTGAACTTAAATTGTTAAATTGTTGTAAAAATGTGTTTTTATTGGCGTTTATCTACAGGTTTTATTGTGGGCAGTTTTCTGATGTAAGATGGGTGAAACCTGCCGCGCGCACTTCTGTGACGCTTTTAGAGACATGTTGCTGAATTTGGTCAGTGAGACGTAAATGTGCTGCTTTTATATATCTCCTATATACACACACACACATATACAGATACACTTAAGATCCATTACCGACACCTGAACTTGTTAACGCACGCGCATCTCTTCGTCACGCGCACGAGGACGAGCGGCGCGTGCGCAGAGGAGCGGTCCTCATTCAAGGCTCAGTCATAAATTGTTAAAAACTTGTGGAGTCATTCACTTTAAAGCTCCGTATTCACACACACACACACACACACACACACACACACACACACACACACACACAGTGGCCCTGAAAGGCACGGGAGGTGTTACATTTTCGGTCTTAAATATTTAAAGTTTGTCAAACAAGCACATTTATTTTCCTGCAGAAGATACTGTATGTAGTTTAAGACTTGGTGATAAATATCAGTTTACAGATGTGTGAGCCTGATGTGTGTTGCCAAGGCCTGATCATCACATGATCCTGTATAGATAAAACTATATTTGATATAAGGGCTGCAACTAACGATTTTATCATTATTGAATAATCCGTTGGTTATAGTCTCCATTAATCAATCATTTTGTCTATTAAATGTCAGAAAATAGTGCAAAAATGCCTGTTTAAATTTCTTGGGGGCCAAGTTGTCGTCTTCAAATAGCTTGTTTTATCTGACCAAAGGTTAAAAAAAGATCCTTTCTTAGCAAATCTCACCTTTAAAAAAACTAGAGATTTTCTTTTTAATGAGACTGTTAATGTTTTCAGAATTGTTGTAGTTTAATTTTTTCACCTCTGTTTGTTATTCACTGCTGGTAGCAGCAATTTTGGCTAATGACGACTCTCTCTCATTAGTTTTTGAATAATCTGTCATGTTTTCATTGTTTAAAAGTAAAGAGTAAAGTCAGACCATTTATCTGTCTCATCTGTCTGCTGTGGTGATGGATGCAGCAAAACATAATCCTACAAATTGTAATTGTACCCCACACCGTAGGCCTCTTTGTGTAATATGTCCTGAAAAACTAAAAGGTAAGAGGAATCATTTGTATGTGTACGCTCACTATCTCTCACTATAACATGTGGCCTTGACTCAGGCTGTTCATGTGAGTGTCAGAGTGCGACATGCTGAGGTGTAACATAGTGGACTGAGTGAGCGGCACTCAGGAAGGTGCCAAAGCCGAACCCTGTCCTCGTGAAGAATTTCTCCCTCCTGTTTCTACACATCATGTTGACTCTAGCTCCTTTGAGCCCTCGGCAGCTGACATTAAAGCGTTTGTGGTTTGTAAAGCTGCACCCAGTTGTGTTCAGATGTATTTTCCTTTTCCTACCTCCAGAAATAACCCCCCCATTGTCATTTTCTCCTGATTATCTCGACTGTAGACAGTGGAGTCACTTTCAGAGATCACTCAGACAGAATAAATGGATTGGCTTTGATTGAGAGACGCTGCTGAGAGCAGCGTGTCTGCTTTGCACCTTTTCCAGTCATCTCAGCATTTCATTCATCTAACTCCTGTGGCGTGAGGCGGTGTCCGGCAGGAATTTGATGTTAAGTCCAAGTCCCAGCTCAGATCCGGGTTGTCGTTGAGGTTTCCACATTGAGCTGTGAGGTTGCCGCCGGGTTTGACACTCTAGTTTTCCTTCAGGTGGGTCACGTTTCCAATTTGTGTTAGCGGAGGTGGAACCGGACCCCTGAGGAATCTTCCCCCCCTGCAGAGAGAGCTATGGAGATGTGCGTAAGAAGATTTGTGAGGTTGGACCACCTGTTGACAGACCCAGAATGATTGAGAGAGGGTTGTTTTTTGTAACATCAAGAGAAGAAGAAAGAAGACATGTGGGGTTTGATTTGCCTCAGGAAGATGTGCAGTAACACAGAGAAAGGTGCTCCACTGACCCTCCTCAGTGTCTATTTTTTATAAATCCTCACATTAAATTTGATTGGCAGCGAGCTGCAGTATCCCCACTATCGCCAACATTACAGTACATTTTTCTCTGGCGACAGCCTCTGCATAATTCTCCCTCCTCCGCTCCCTGCAACCTCACTCCTGCCCTGCCCGGGGTATAAATAACCATGTGGATGGAGCAAATCTCAGCAAAGCCCGGCGCTGTGGTACATCAGCACTTTGGAGAAGGCCAGAGATTATTATTGGTTTTCTTATCTTCCTCATCTCTCCGTTGATGTGGCTGCTACTGTCTTATACTGTGGTCAGTATTACCTGCATCCTACTGAAGCAGAAAGTGTCTTCTGTTCTTAGTTCACTTTTTCAGGTTTAGCAAGATGCCATGGTTTTGTAGTGTGATAGCAGACTCTGAATCACTGCCCACATCATGTTTTTTCAGCGATTCAGATAAGTCTGGTGTTCTCATTGATTGCTGTTTCTCTGCAAAAAACAACCGCACGGATCAGAGTTTTGTAGGTGGGATTAAAAAAAGCAACACACAGATATAGAGATTGTTGTAAGACTATAAAGTAGATCAACCTCTAAATTCAGCATTCAGCATTAGGAGGCTCTATTGGTAGAAATGGAATATAATTATTCATAGGTATGTTTTCATGAGTGTATAATCACCTGAATATAGGAATTGTATTGTGTGATTGGATAAACCATCTTGAGCAAACTTCAATCAGATCAACAAACCGTATGCCGTTCTTTGCTCTTCTTTCAAATAAAGAAATACTCTCCAGTTGTGATATAACTCATACTAGCAGTATCTACACTAACCTCTTAGCCACTGAGCGAACAGTCAGTAGCTCCTCAAAGGGCGCTGATTGGTTCGCAAACCACTGTGTTCAGACACAAGCTCGTAGCTTAAAGCCTGGCAAGATGGATTCTTACATGATCTGCCAGTGCTGTAGTACTCGAGTCTGGTCTTGAGACGTTATTTCCATTGTCTCTGACTTGGACTTGTTCGTATTTGCACTCGGACTTGGCCATTTGTAATGGTTACCAGGCAACCAATGTCACTTGTAAGCGTATACCTGGCTGCCAAAATCATCTCATTGGTAATGGCTATGGCTATATATATCGCTGTCGAAGGGACAGATACAGGAAATCTTTCCTGCCACAAGCATCACACTGTACAATAACAGCTAAAACTCTGGTCATAATAATACAGTCCCCAAGCACCTTATATGTTTTATCTGTTCACTGCACCTTATATTTTTACTTTGTACTACAATTAGACCGCTTATTTATAAATGTTTTATAAATTTTTTATATTGCATTTTATATTGCTGTTTTTGATATGTCTGTGTGTTGTTACTGTGTGTAATGCTGCTGCTACACTGCAATTTCCCAGCTTGGGAAAAATAAAGTCTCAACTAGTCCTGGTCTTGGCTTGCTTTGAACTTTTGAACAGGCTGTAAACCCACTGTAATGGAGTGCAAAATGGGTGTATCAGAGCGTCACTCGAGAAAAAAAGATATATATATATATATATATCTAAGATATATATATATTGGTGCATTTCCTGTTTGCCTTTATAATTACCATATAACATTTTATTTTCTTATCAAAATATAAGTGTTGTTAGTGGGACATATAGGGCTGCAACTCATAATTATTTTAATTATCAGTTAACCTGCATTTCCTAAAGTTTCCTAAAGCCCAAGTTGATGTCTAAATATCCCCAACCAACATAAGAGAAAAAATATACCACGCAGATAAGTTTCTCCTACTTAGTTATCATGTAGAATGTGATGCTTCCTGCAGAAAAGCTGTTCACACTTTGGTTCAGTGCCGCTCTCATGTATGTTGGACCTTCTCCTGATGGCGCAACACTTGTTTTCCAGTCTGGATCACTGTATCCGTTGTCTCATCACCAGCAGCAACCAGTGTAGAGGAAGGTGGAATCCGTTGCACCACAGCGCGATCATGGCAACCATTTCAGAGGCAAAGTCCAGGTTGATTGGCAACCAGGAGCGAGCCAAACAAACTGGGCCCAAACAGGGAGGGAGGAGGGTGTTGTTTTTAGCCTTTGATCCTTTTTTTTGTTGGTTTTATTTTGGAAAGAGATGTAGACCATGCTGAGGTGGCAACGCTGTGGTCAACAGGAGGAGAGGATGTAGAGGAGATAGGTGAAGTCTTTAGTTTTTATTTGGAAGAAACAGTATTTCTGTTTGTACTGGACACTTACTTTTCTATTTTCATGTAAACAATTGGCAATAACACCTTTAAAAACGGAGGCTACACGTTTAACAGAGAATATCTTGTAGTGAAAACTTAAAAGATTTGACAGCTGATCCCAAAGCAGTTTCTACTTGCGACCCTTCGTCACCAGTTGTGATCATTTGAACCAAAAAGTAACCTAGTAATTTCTCCTGCTATGAAGGTTGATGACCTGTAGTGTGGGATCACAGGAGTTGTTGTCTTCACCACCATTGTTGCCATTGCAATCAGCTTCTCCCAGTTAGGATCCTTTCAGTGTTCATCATTTAGGAGGTTTCTACTGAGAGCCGTGTTATCCACAGAGGTCTCTTCCTCTCCAAAACAAACCAACCCGGTGATTTAAACCGGCGAATAAAGCAGCTTCACCTTAAACATCAGCGTTTTTCAGTAGACAAAGGACGCTCAGCTTGTTTCTCTGATCTTCAGATCCAGACGTCAGATGACTGTAATGAAATGTGTATGGTAGAAACGGGGTTTTAAACTGGATGAAAAGTCAATTTATGACTGCTTCTGGCAGACAAGGGGCTATGACGCCATTGACAGACCTGAATAAAATGACATATTTCTCTGGGTTTGAACAGTTGGAAACATTTGGGATAATGTTAGTGCACAAATTAAAAAATATATATAACATAGATTTAGTGGTTAAGGACATGTTTATGTGGAAATATTACAAAATATAACTTTAAATAATACATGACCCCTTCATTGATTGTATTCACATCTTTCATCTTTTTCACAGTTTAATTAATAAGAAGAATCCCAGTCTGTCGTCCACAGTCTCTTCTCAGGTGACAGCAGGTGATTTTCTTCTGCAGGTTGAATTCCAGTTTAAAGCAGTTGACCCGTGTGTCTTGTTAACCAGACTGTAGCAGAAAATGAAAGAAAAAGACCTGCCGGCCAGACTGCACATAGTGTGGATGACGCACGACAAGTGCAACAGTGTGTGCAGTAGCGCCTGGAGCTGTGGGCTCTCTGCTGATAACTTAAGTATTAATGCAGGAGGCTATTTCCATCATATACAGTGCAGCCAGAAATGTCACATTACGGTTCCTCATAATATCTTTTTTTCTTCACGATCTGTGTCGTGCATCTTCATGTTCATGTTACAGCTCATAAACACGTGGAAGATCGTTTTCATCATCCTATTTGGAAAAAGAAAATGGAATTAGATGAATAAACTTTTGAAGATTTCGTGCTTGAATGAAGTGTTCTATCAGCACACTTTGGTATGATCATACAGTATATTATTACTTTCCACCCTGCCGTTTGGTGCCATCCAAAACGACATTAACAGCAGCAATAGGCAGAGAGAGGAGAGATGTAATCTGTATGTGAGGGCTGTGGATGGATGAACATGAGTTGAGGTGAGTGTATGTCTCCGGGGGGTCTGTGCTCACATGGCAGAGGGAGGTTCATCTCAGTGTGCAGCACGGAGGCCATCTGACCTCAATGTAGAAAAACGTACAGAAGAGATAAACTGGTCTCTCCAGTTGAGATATACAATTCTTCATCTGTCTGTGAATTCATGAAACCACTCTCAAGTTAAGTGGAGACTGTGGATCACTGGGTCACAACTTCACAGCAGCATGCTTTTGAATTAGTCAACTATTGTGACTGATCTGTAATTGTTTTGTCTGTCTGGCGCGATAGACTGCAGAATAACATTTCCTGGAAACAACTGTCTCAGCACAGTGCCATCCAAAAAAAAAGTGCTTGTTTGGAGTCTTGGCAAACAACTGCGATGTTACTCGTCCTTGTGAGGCGTTTGTATGTTGTCAGCCTGCAGTGAAACAGAGAAATGTTTAATTTAGACTGAAAGTGAAATGTGTTTGTGTGTTACAGGAGCTGTCTGGCTGGTCCCGTTTGCACTACTATGACTCTGAGCTCCTGAATATTTTGCTTTTTAAAAAGAAAAAAACCCAACTTGCTGTCACTCTTGAAAACCATTTGATTCCTCAATGGGTTCCCGCAGCCAAGGCTTCTTCCACCATCACCACCACCACCACCACCGTAGCTCCATGGTGCCCACTGCGGTGCCGAGGCTGCTGCCTGAGAGCGGCAGCCTGCTGGGAGGCATCGCACAAATCACCCCAAACCTCTTCCTCAGCAGAGGGAACGTGGCATCCAACCGCAGCCTGCTGCTGTCCAAAGGCATCACCTGTGTGGTCAACGCCACCATCGAGCTCCCCAACTTCAACTGGCCTCACATGGAATACGTAAAGGTCCCTCTGGCGGACATGCCCCACTCCCCCATCTCCTTGTACTTCGACAGCGTGGCCGATAAGATCCACAGTGTGGGACGAAAGCGAGGAGCGGTGCTGGTGCACTGCGCAGCGGGGGTGAGCCGCTCAGCCTCTCTGTGTCTGGCGTACCTCATGAAGTATCACCGTGTGTCTCTGGCTGAGGCCCACGCCTGGGTCAAGGCCCGCCGCCCTGTCATCAGGCCCAACGGCGGCTTCTGGCGCCAGCTCATCGAATACGAGAGGAAGCTGTTTGGTAGAAACTCTGTTAAGATGGTGCAGACGCCCTACGGGGTCATACCTGATGTTTATGAGAGGGACCGCAGGAGCCTGGCTCCGTACTGGGGCCTGTGAGAGAGGCTGTGCCAACCGTCGACAGTGAGGGATCGAGGAGGAAAGTGAAGTTGAGCCCTCTTGCCCTCCTGGACTGCAGGTTCTTGCGTGTCCAGGACAGGCAAAGTGAGTGTACATCTGTGTGAAACTTATTTAATAAATACTGGTGCGTTTGGACGGAGGGAGTTCAACCAAACACTGGTTGTTGATGGTCATCCAACCAGTTGCCTTCATTTAGTCTTTGAGTGGGAGCAAGGCGACTTCAAGCCCAGAATCCTTAGGACCAAAGGATCGATTTTGGACCACAATGATGTCAGACACCAAAATAAGATCAGAATGTGGAAGTCGGTGCTGTCTATCTCCTGGTCTGTCTGTCCAGTTCCAGTGGAGGACGAGCGCTCTGTGAAGGCTGAGACTCTGCAGCTCTGACAGCGATGTGACTGAAGTCCTTTTCCTGACGTGATGTCATGTGGTGGTATTGTGCCAGTTTTGCAGTAGTCTTTAGTGTGAAGGGCAGCAGCATGCTCTCAATTTATGGTAGCATTTAAGATAAGTGTACAGGAAAAAAAACTACTATATAGACATTATTTTATTGGAAATGTACTAATAGTGAGGAAAAAAATGATTATGGGACACTTTAAGATGTTAGTATATCGACCTTTTTGAGAGTGAAAATATAGAAGATGTAAGCTAAAAGTCAGGTTTAGGGAAAGTTCCTGTGTACCACAGGGTTGACTGTTCCATCCTGTGACCACACTATGTTATTGTAGTGATATTTGATGCTGTATTTAAAAAAATATATGCTGCCACAAAGGGAACTGGTAGCTCTATGATAGATGCGTGGAAGAATATTTTCTATCCTACTGTTTTTGCCTTGTGTCCATATTCGGGTAAGGTTGCAAAAAGGATCAGTGCAGTACTGATTTTATTTCTCTGTGTGAAGCAGGGTACTTTTGTGGTTTGGTGCTCTTCTAAAGAGCGATATGACACAGGCTGAAAATCCTGCTTCTACTGTCATCTGTTGGTTGAAATTTTAACTTTGCTGTCCACACTGCAGAGATACTGTTTAGCACCTAATAGTTGTAGGGGTGAGACAAAGAATTTCTACCACACATCAATACTTTGCCACCAATATTATCACATGAAAGAAAACATAATGCAGTGATTGTTTGGATTGTTTTTACATATTTTAAATCCAGCATTAGACCCATTGTCGACATTAATCAGAGAAGCTACAATCAGCTTCCCAGATTTGGCACTTCATGGCTACCTACGCCTGTATGGTGACCCTTGTGTGTGGTACGGGAGCCAATTTAAATGCGTCAATGATGCAATGCTAAGTAAAGCAGCCTCAGTGTGTGTTACATTTAAATTTATTCTCAAATGGCTCATTTTGTCGAAAAAAACCCAGATATAAAGATATTTACAGTTGTATAAAGCGGAACAAAAGGAGTTAATTCTGACATTTTAGACACTGGAACCAGAAAAAATTGATTATGAAATTTGTTCACAGATGTAATAATTGATATATATAATGTTTAACCATCGTTGTTGTCTTGGGCAGTGATACTCGTGTCAGTTTTGTATTGTGATTTCTTGACTCTCACCCCTACACTATATAGTGCAGTATAATATCACTATTGGATGTGGTCAGACATCACAGCAGCAGTGAAGTTGCGTGGTGTCGAACGTAACAGAGTTGACATTTTGAACCCACAGAGATGCTTTTTTCCAACAATGCCATAATAGATTAAGTGTGATATTACGATTTAAGAAAAAGATTTAAAGTTTAGGGGTAAATAATAATTGTTAGCAGGAGAAAGATACACAATCTGTAATCTGACTTCAAATTATTTCCTGCCCCAAGAGAGTCATATTAAAATAATTTAAAAAAAAGGAGCTCATGTCACTGTTTGTGTTCACATTTGACCTCTAACAGACAATATTTCATTTTACTGGATTCAGAGTGTGCATTCACTTAGCAGCAAAATTTTCTGTCTTTTTTTTGTGACGTCTCTGAGATATTTTTTCACATGAACAGACTGCTGCGTTTCCTCCTCCAAAGGCCTCTTGATGTTCACTCTGCTCAGCCATTTTCCCCAAGAGATGTCTTCAGATGTCAAAGAAATGTTCTGTCATTCATTTTCATTTGCTGCAGCTACAGAGCAGCAGGCAGATATTGATGAGCGCTATTTGTCTTGTGCCCACACTTCTGAGGGACCTCCGGAGTGGTCTCCAACAATGAATTCCATTACCCAGCGAGACGAGGCCCGTCTGATGACAGGCCGACCACCGCGGAGATGCACAAGTGATGGGCTCAAATTATACACTGCGCACACTATTTTCTCTCAGCGAAAAAAATTTAAAAATCTTCTTTTACCTCACCAGCCCCTTCCCTTCGTTAGTCAAGCAGTAAAAGTAAACACATCCTTCACCAGCAGCAGGATATTATCATCTATCATTAAAGCAGTAAGCAGAGCCATTTGCATCATCCTGAGCATCAGAGGCAGGCCAGGCTCCAGCAGTGCAGGCCATGCAGAACGAACCACGCTGATGAAGTTTGAGGAGATGACATTCAGATCAGACGGCAGCCATAACTAAAATTTACCTAAAAACTGAAACTAGATGTGAAAAAAACCCAAACTAACTGAAACTACATTGTGTACTAAAACTCACTAAAATAACAATATCAATGAAAACAGGAGGTGTTGGTATATATGTTTATTGAGACTGGGATGTCTACATGACTTTGACTCAATGTGTTTGTAATACCTTTAATACCTTTTTTTATTTATTTATTTATTTATTTATTTGGTCTTTTATGGCCTTTAACTGATAGTGACAGCTGAAGATAGACAGGAAGGGGGGGTAGAGAGAGTGGATGACACGGGCTGCAGGTCAGATTCGAACCCCGGGCCGCTGCAGCAAGGACTTGGTACATCTTTGCCAGCTCTACCATGTGAGCTAACCAGGCCCCCTGAGCCTGTAATACCTGTAATACCTGATCTGAACTTCTTTAATCTTGCCCCTGACAAAACCCCCATATTATAATAAAAAAAACACTAAAACTAAACAACAAAAATTAAAACAAAAATTAAAATGAACTAAAAAAACTAAATATAAACTCGTGAAAAATACAAAATACAGTAACTCTGATTGGTCGGCGTACTACTTCATTTCAGAAATCTCAACAAGTTTTCATAAAATACATTCATGATCCAAAGACAATGAGTCAGTGCCACTGTGAGGTCGACATTTAAGGTTTTGAGTGAAATATCTTAAATGATTGGATGTATTCTTTAAAAATTGTTACAGTTAGCCAAGACCCTAGAGCAGGGGTCTCTGGCTTTTTACACTGCGTACCACTGCCAGTATATATAAGGCACTACCTCAGAAAATATTAGGCTCTCCCAAGTACCACTATTATGATGATGAGTAGCGACGGCCGACAGTTCACGCAGGAGGCAGGTTCATTCTTAATAAGAAGATTATTTATTGTTGACTGTTGTTGAATTAGCCAGAACCGAAACCAGAGCTTATCTGGTGGAAAAGGGGGTACCCCTGCTCCAACACGATGCTGGGGTTAACGTGTTAAACTTTTCGTGAACATGAAACATCCCTTTATGCTGACAATGTTAGCATTGTCATTGTGAGCATGTTAGCACACTAACATTCAAATTTAACTCAAAGCACCACTGTGCCTAAGTACAGACTCACATAGCTGCTAACATGGTTGTAGACTTGTTGCTTTATAAACACATTTATTGATCGTTAAGTTGACAAGAAAATTACAATGTCATCATTCAGGGCAAAAAACAAACAAAGAAAAAAAACTCAGGGCCCGACCACGAGTACATGTTCTCAGTGTATTGCCTATTTTTTTTTGTTTTACCTAAAGAGTTTACATTCTACATTTGCACACAAATTACTAAATAAATATCTTTACATTTGTTTTGGTTTTTTAGTGCGGTGGCTTGGGAGGAATCCTGGCTACAAACCTGCAATAATTTCAGTCTCAGTGTTGCGTATCTGTCTGTGCAGGTTTTATTTAAATCGCACAAAGCAAATATGAATATCCGCTGTAGCCGCAAAGAATTACTAGGCTTTAAATTATACAGCCTTTAATAATTCAGTATAATCGGCATGAGCTGCAACGCTACTCCTGTAACAATAGGTGTAAATCTTGCATTTCCATTTTAACAAGGCCATACGCACAAGGCCAGTTATTAATTCAAACAAGCTGCTTTCAATGCTGCTTCAATTTCAGGCACGCCACCCTCGTTATAGTCATAATTTGACAACCTGATTTAGTCACACAGCAACATATGCTTTGACTGTTGGATGTGATTCAAAGTGTGCATCACAGTTGCAACAATAAAGGCAGCAGCCACATGGAGAATGCTGCTTATATGGCTGCCAACAGCACACACAGTCCCAGGAGACACTTTTTTTTTTAAAGTTAATAGTAATATAAAGAATCCATAACTGAGCATGAAATACAGGAGTAAAAGAGTTCGATCGAGGGTCATCTGAAGTGCAGTAAGACCTTGGCTGATACAGTTCTGGTCTGTCGTGATTCTTCCTCAGTGAGCAGCTGAATGAGTGCGTTGTCTCTGTGGTGTAACGGTGACTCATCCGTCCGTCGCCTTTAAAGCCTCAACTGTCTGAACTGATTGATAGAGCGGACACTGAGGCACAAGACTGTGAGCCATGGAGCTGTACTCAGTTTGTAATGAACGTCTCAGCAGTGAAAATGATTCATATTTGTGTCCAAGTCATAAATGGTTAAAATACAACAACTACAAAACCTCTCTAAAACAGCTTCAACAAACACTGATGATAACCGAGATAGGATTTATTATAGGGCTTGTGTATTAGCATTGTTTTAGCTCGGTGTGTAATAGTATATATATCGGCTGATAAATAACAAGAAATGCCAAAGATACCGAGATGTTCGAGGTCATTTAGGAAACCGTAATTTCATTACATAGTTTGTCCACTAGAGAGCACTTATTGTACATCTTTCAAATTACATTTTAGAGTTGGTATGGTACAGAATACCTTTTGAGTGTAGAGCGGGAATACTTCTTATCTATTTCAAATTTACTCTTATTTTTATTCTCTAACAACAACAATAAATAATCCTCCTATTAAGAATATGCATATTACGATGCATGAACCGTCTGTAGCTGAATAGAGTCGGTCTATGCCACCGTACTTTAATGATGGTGACTGGAGAGCCTAATATTTTCTGAGGTGTAAGGCTTTGAGGTGTAAAATGTTTTCATTAGTGTATAATCACCTGAAAATAAGAATTGTTGTGCCTTCGTTACCTCAGAATGACCTGTTTATATCGACGCCTCGGGTCGCCTTCCATGGAGGCCGCCATGTTGAGCCGCCATGTTTCTACAGCAGCCCAGACCAGACAAACCAAGCACCTGCCATAGATAGGGACATTTGAGTTTTTTGTGCGCTTCATGGCTACCATAGTTTCTCCTTCGTGCTTGGAATGTGAGACTACACACTGGTCCTTTAATATATCATAGGGAGAAGACATAGAGATATTTTGAAGCTCTTCCTCTATCACCCTTTAAACTTTTAAAACCAAAACTTTTTGCTTTTTAAACTACCTTTTTTGATCCCCTGTGGATAAATAGAAATGTTATCTGAAGAAAGTAAAGCAGGAAGCAACTCTATTCACACGGATGAAGGCAATCAGTTGAACTTAATGTGCAGGAGCAGCTGTTTTTAATCAATAATGTGACTGTGGCCATGAAATACCAAAGAGCAGCAGTCAATACAGCACAGTATCACTTCAATCTCTCTTCTCTCCCAGAGTGATCATTTCAGTTTGGCATCACAGACAATGGGCGTGAAGATGACAGTCAGAGGAATGAGAGAGACTCTCTGCATTTTGAATTACACAATCTTATTCAGTAATTGATTTCAGCGCCTGTAATTTTCTGTAATCCCGGTGTTCACCGTGAGAGGAGAGGAATTCATTTTCTGCAGGAAATGAATTAGGGAACGGTGAGAGATAAAATGGATGTTGGAGAACACACCTGAACACAAGTGTGGGAACAATAATGAGACTGGTTTCAGAGCCCACCCCCTCCCGCCTCCCCCCAGACATCTCATTTGATTGGCTGCAGCTCAACCCGCCAGCGATGGCCCGGCAGGCTTGTCGAAGGAGAATTTATTCCATTTTGTTGCAAAGTGATGGAGATGAGGCCTCTCTGGCCGTAGAGAAAGTACATTATTGAGTGAAATGACGGGGGGGGGGGATGCGCAGAAACATTCATGCATACGGGAGAGGAAGTTTCACGGGGG